TTTCCAAACACAACCTGTGACTTGATCCCACTTGTTAGTCATGGCTGACAAATTTCCTGCACTGTTCTAAAGTGCAAGTGCTGAAAGTTTTCCCCCCCTGATATTTCCTCGGATTATATGATTCTGGATGTTTGTCAATACATACTAAACATAGGAGGAAGAAGCATGGGCCCGGGCAGCTAATAGGATACATAAAAATAAAAACAATTCATCATGACAGCTAGTGCAAGCTTGCAATGCACACTTCCCTGCCATGTACTGTAGATACATTATTAATAACAAAATGAATTCCATTATATATAATGAAGCATTCTAATACCCAAAGCTACCTATTTAGAAATCAACAAATAATCAGTGAAGCATTGTGATGCGTTTTAAATCAACTTTTCTCGACCTTTTTTTAGTCATGCCACTCTTTAAAAATATCTCAAGGCACTCCATTCTAAAATGGAAAAAAACTTGATAAAAAAATGATGTGTGTTCTTCCCCCAAAATATACACCAGACCCTTATCATAGATAAGGGTCTCATATGGATTTTATGGAGGTACATATAAAAAAAAAATATGTAGTGTTCCACCTCCCCATCAAAAGTCACACCCTTTTACATCAGAGTTCCTCCTTCACATCAGAAGCCCCCTTACCATCAGAGTCCCCCCTTCACAACAGGAGCTGCCCTTCACATCAGAATCCTACTTTATAATCTTCACACTAGTGCAGCTGTGGCAGCATGGCAGAATGTGGGAGGTGGAGCGGTTCTCGTTGGAGGTGGTCTTCTGTCCTCTTCTGAATGCTGGGGGAAGTCCTGGATTCAGCCCGCCCTGGATCAGCATCATGCATTTTCATGGCGCGGTTGGCTGGTTCACCTAAACTATGAAAATGCATGACACTCTGTGAGGAAGGCTGTTTTAAATACCCAACTATGTAAGCGTATGGGAATGTTTTTGATCCATGAGGATTCATGAGCAGAATTTTAGCTATCTGCAGTAAACATGTCCACCTCCCCATCCCTATGTCTTGAAGCTTGAATAGCTAATACGTTTTCCTACAGTCTTCTAGCCATTTTTGTCACAGGTCCTGCTTCTTAGTCCTCCTGGATTGAGCGACACTCATTTCTTAATTTTTAGCGAGTCCATAGCCTTGTGTGGTCAAAGCACAGATTTTAACTACCTAGTCTTCCAGAAACCTCCTTCCTATCCCAATCCCTAATTCTGTCTCCTCATAAAGGAAACTGAAGCAAAATCTGCCCACCTGTTTAGGATGTTTCTAGCACAACAGCAAGTTTTGGATCTTGTGAGAGTGCTCATGATAAGTGTGTATGTGTGTGTGTGGGAGGTGACATTCCCCTGGCTAATTCCCTGTGAAGCAGATACAGAGAGATCTACCTCAAAGAACCAGCCACATGCAAAAATTCAGGCTTCCAGATAGCCTAGTTATGCTGATACATTCAATGGCATATCACATTAGATCCAGTCTGTACGGACAGTATTGCCACTTGCTCACTTGGCAGAAACCACATGCATCTTAACCCTTCAGTATGACACAGAAGTTGAATTTTCCATAGTTTTACTTCAGATAAGTGCAAAACAAGGGAGGTTTTTCATACTTTTGAAGTGTATCAAGACAATGACTTTCCTAAGGACTTCCCTAAACCCTGTCTTTGCTTAAAAAGAGAAACTAAATTGAGCAGTAGAGTGAGAGGCAGGGAGTATCTAGCTAGAGACTGTCCTAACTAGCATCAAACAGGAGGTGGATCAGGAGAACATATCAAGGGCAAAGATCAAACAGGCTCTGTGGCAGCACAGTTGTTTTTCCATGCATTAAGTTAAGGTAACAGGTTGTGATAAAAAGTTAGATTTTTTTCATCCATATAATTAAACATCTGCATAATTAAACATATGATTTTTTTTAGAAAAAATATTTAAATCAATGCAGCTTCAAGCTTTTCAATATACAATTAACTAATTAGTGAAGAATCTACTTTCACAAAACCCATGATCACCGCCCTTGTTATTTCCTATATTTAATGTTTATTGGAACCTTTGACATCAGAGTATGTCCCTAAAGGAGTTCACAGTGTAATTTATGTCCCTGCCACACCCATAAACACACTGTGGTCAAAATTGTGAGGATGACACTTTATCTATGAGGATATTGATGGACTAGGGAATACTACATACAAACGTTATCAGCTGATCCCCTATTACATATATCAACTTTTTTTTCACTGCTGGTACCTTATTTATGTGCGTTCTTCCATCACATGATTGGAATAAATTGTCAAGGATTGTAACAGATTTACTATATGAAGATCTTAAGGTAGTAAGTGTGTTAGAACTATCGGCTGTACAATAATAGCAAAACATGACCGGTAATGACTAATATCAGTGATTAATGATTTCAGCAAGATTTGTGATCTTAGAAGGAATTTTGACTGAACATCTCCGTTCACTACTCACTTCTCTACAATACAGTGCATGCTGCTAGGTTTCCCACAGATCATCTGCCTATCACTCCTTTGTATTCTAAGCTATTTTCTGGAGTTCTCATTTGTATTGTTTCATGTATATGTTATTACAATGTTAACATGGTTTATTAATGCCAATGATTAAAGATTCTTAAGGTTGAATTTTCTATAAAAAGTTGTGACAGATATATGCTGCATACTGTATATCCAGAAAATCTAATACTTATGCAAGGAAATATAAAACAACTCAAATGTTGATACATTTATTTTTTATTAGCAAAGATGATATACAAAAACATACAAATACATTCAGTATATAGCAATTTAATTATTTACAGGGTTACTATGTACAAGAATTAGAATAATGCTTGAAATGTATCCATTATTCACCATGTTTGTGTTTTATAGTCTACTATATGACATTTAGTATATCATTCATGTACTAGCACAGAACCACAATGAAGAAAATCATTAAAAAATTGACACGTAATTCCACGTAATTATTGTTTGACTTTTCCTGTGGAGTATTCCTAGACTACACTTCATATGTTTGGTATTCTTTTACTATTGTCTATGTGTCACTGTTAATTTGTTGTAGCTGTAATTGATGCTGCACATTATACTTATGGTTGATTATACCTACACAACAGTAGTGGTTGTGGAATTGCTCTGCACATATCAATAAAGCTTATTTAAGCCCACATTTTAAAAAAGAGTAATGATGACCATAGATAGGCATCTCCCTAGAATGACATGCGGGTAGACATCTGTCTATGCCTAAAGTATATGTAAACTCTGCCACTAAAATCTCCTATAACCTTTACCATGCTGATGTAATTTCAAAAGTTATTTATAATAATTTCAAATCTGCAGCTTTTTTAAAGTAATAACTGGTAAACCTGCCATAAAGATCCTTCTATGGGCACTTCCTGTTATATAGTGTCCACTGTGATGCATCCAAGGATGAAAAGAATGTGAAAACAAGTACTTTAGTAACAAAAAAATGGTTTATGATACACAGTAATTAAGCAAATGAAATATCATTTAGTTGGTGTATACATATACTTTTATTGAACCAGGACCCGCCACTTGCATAACTTGACTGATGGATTGAAGTGATGCACGCATTATACACCCTTCCCTTTTCTTAATAAGGGGGTGGAAGCATCAGCCAGGTCTCACTATGTTGGAAAATCTCAGTCAGTGACAAGGACAACTTCCAATATTGGAAGCATCCATTTTTACACTCAAGATGTACATATAAATGACCCATTTAATACTATGAGCATCATATCAGGTGGTTTCACATGTGCAATTTATGGCCAGCCCAATTCAGACACATATGGAAAGGTGACAAAAAACTTCACGTAATAAAGTCTTGTACTGTCTGGATAGACCTTTTGTGACAATAGAAACGTATAGAAACATGCCATGAAATCTGCACTAGAATAACATATGGAAGAATGTTACCACAATAAATAATGTCATGTACCCAGCTTTTGGTAAGGCTCTAGTACCTTAAAATGGCTGACAGTATAGAAACCACCCTTCTTCTTCCTGGGATATTGTATTCTGAGAGCCAGCACCTGCCACTGTCAGAGTACCCAAACAGTGACTGCAGCTGTTTGGCTGACAATTTTTGTCCAGATTGAGTCAACTCTTGTTGAGCCGGTAGGGCCACCTACTGTTAGAATGTTGGCCAATTCCTGTGATTTTGTCAAAATTCTAACAGTGTTTGGCCAACTTTAGATGACCACCTCTTATTTCTTGTGACAGCCAGAGATATGTTTAGTGACACATTCTGTGTATGCCTCAAATGGTTTAAATGATAGTATTCTGCATATTTTGAAACTGAATAGTGCCATTTAATAATGAGCACCCTACCTTGATCTGAAATTTTTTCTTCCTTAGGCCTAGGTTAGAAGGGTGTCAAATACTTCAATTTTGTATTTCAGGTTCACATATGCTTTCACTGTATAGGTTTATTTTCCAAAGCATTTTTACTTTTGCATAGTGTGCAGGGAGACACTAGCATTAACTTTGGTAGCTGTGTCACCTACTTGCTGATTAGCTGACGAATGGACATCATCACAATGATGAGGTCCTCAGTATACCTTACCCCCCAGCCTCCAATGCCTGGTAATATTGGATCGCCAGCATTAAATAGTGCAATAGTGCCTCATTGGTTCACTGTAAGTAGACCTCCCACTATGTGATTTTTTTTTTGTTCAGGAGATTGTGGGAGAATGACAAGAAGTTCAAGCAGTTATAATAACAACATTTTAATATACATATAATGATTTTTTAAATTAATACATTACTGGATTTTTTTTTCACTGCAGCCTGGACTACCTTGTTAACACTTGAGTTCGCATATCAATGTTTTGCACAGGGCCTTTGTAAAATGTGACTTCACAACAGTTTGTTCTGAACTAGTTATTATGAGTATGTAGTGTCTTAAATTACTTTTGTGCGGGAACTTTTCAGACTTAACTCACTGGAACACAAGATATACTAGTATACAATTTTCATTTTTCAGCATTCTGCATTCTCATATCTATAGGGCTGTCCAGGGAAGCCATTACTCATACATTGACCATATTTGTAAAAGTCCAGGTTGTCCAATCTTTCAGACTTTGTAGAATTCTGCTCTTGGTAGCCTAATGCTGTCTTGATTACACTGATGTCATCTTGGGCTTTCCCCTCAGGATAGACTCCTTCCGCTAAGTTGTCTTGTAAATGTGTATAGTTTTGCAAAGCCTTGACGTCACACACATTGTCAGTATACTTCACTGCTGGAGGTTTGTAGGCCTGGTAGGAAACTTTGGTAGTAGTTGTTATAACAGTCTGTAGAGCTGGAGATGGTGATCTTGCATACCTACATTGGTGATCGGGATTGTAGTAAGAATGACCGGTATTTGTTTGAATCTGGCCATAGTCACTTCTCTCACCATATCCAGGTTTGGCAAATATCTGCATCCATCCGTGATGTTTACCAGTTCCATCAAAACTCCTTTCATGGGGGTTCAGCATGCCAAGATTGGTTTGTGGTCCATTAAACTGAACTCGGTCAGTGTCTGGCAGACTTCCCATGGGTTCCTTGTATAGTGGAGGGTATGAATTTGGGGTCATGTATCCAGGGACATAGAAATCATAACCACATGGTGTTCTTGGCATGTTTTTTCTCTCAGAGCAATATTCACCTTGATAACCTACTGTGCCATATTTATGTTTGAAGGGGTCTGTGTTCTGAAATGAGGGGTAGTGTTGAGGTGCAAGAGGAAAGCTTCCATCTGGTACAAGACTGAAACGCTCTGGTCCATCTAAACAAGATATAGGATGGATGTTGGAGAAATGTCCGCCACTATCATTGTATCTTCCCACCTGAAAATGATTATACTCATGTTAATGATTATTATTATTATAATAATAATAAATAAAATATTACATGAAATGCATTATTATTTTTCAGATAGCAAGGTGCATTTCCTGCAATGCAGACTACCGTATATATAAACATAATTATTAATTGCTTTGTATGTTCAATTTCCATTCATGATATATTTCTAATACTATTTATTGCCAAATTTTAAACATTAATTTACCGACCTAAGACACACTGATACTGTAGAATGAGCACCAGACAAACAGTGGGAGTGATTTACTATAAAAAAAAAACCCTGGTTCACCAGTATAGAATAAATTCAGAAGTGCCGCCTTAGGTCATCTGAGGGCGATAATCACTTAATTCCAAAAAAACATTACAGCACGCTGGTTATTTACGTATTGTGTTATGAACCTTAAAACATCTTGGGATCTTATTCAGTTTTAAGCTGACCTTTTCTGAGAAAGACATAGGGGAACCATTGCCAATCAACTTCTGAATATGATGGTTTTCTGCCTAGCATACTTACCATTTGGGTTCAGTAAGGTTTGAGTTACTGATCTGGAACCAGTATGTATATTTGTAAAGGCAGGAATCCATATCTGCTTATTTGTTCTAAGTAAGGAACACAAATGGGCTGATCCATTAAAAGGAGCTCAGAATCTTCCCTCAAAAAAAATTGTGTATATATTCACTTCAATTATCCAAACATGTGAAAAGCATATGCAAGTAAATATTCACACATTGGTTGAGTAAATATTTTTAACTCCTTTAGTAAATTTGCCATAGTTTATTGAAGCAAGAGTATAAAAGTGGTAAAAGGAAAACTAGCATATGCTTAGAGAGAAGAAACAAGGGTAGCCTCCATGTCTCCATCAGATAAGGGTTCCTTTAAATTGTTAAACAGGCCAAGGGCTGCAAAGAAGGATGTATGCGGGCCAAAAAACACCAGATTGTCATGCCGTCATTATATAGACAGTTATGCTTTGAGGAAATATTGAAATAAACTTCTTTAACTCCATATCTAGTCAGTTGAGACTGGTGCTAGACGTAAGCAACACAGGAACTTCAGAAAGGTAGAGCCTGGTAATGGAGCATGGGGGCAATATTGCAAGCCATGCTTTATTTCAGCAACCACAGCCCAATAGTATTGAGTTAACCTACACCATAAAGATGGATTGGGTTAACTTGAACCATATCCGATGGTGGCAATTGAAGAACTTAGACATACTTTACATTTATATTTATTTCTTTCAGATACCTTCATCCAAAACTGGTGGGTGATGTTAATTTTAAAAAAGCTAGACATTTTAAAGAGTTTGATAATGTGTTTATTTGTTGTAGTATGTTTAACCCTAATTTTTTTTAAATTCTAGAGTAATACATTTATATTAGCGGCAACAACCCAGATGCAATATGTCATGTCTTAATCAGATGTTCAATAAAGTTTATCATAATACTGAATATTGAGCTATAATTGTCATCATGATAAATATTATCTTCTTATATTGATAATTGAAAAGCGAAGCTACAGTCCCACTGCTCTGGGGTAGTTCATTTACATTATAGAGATGGCTCTCTGTTCTCACCTCGGATTCCAGAAGCTTCTTTTTCTGGGACAAGTGGGAGGATGACATGTGTCTTTTCACAGCACTTCTTCGAGCTTCTGTCTCCGATTTACTTTCTGGTCTTGGATGATCATGAACTCCCTTTGCCTAAAAATGGATAAAACAGAAGTGATATATTTAAAAAGAATCACTTAAGGTTATTAGTGCCACTAGTAAACCCAATTCTTGCTATGCCTTGCTTGACTGATTAGCCCTTGTGTTTGGTTTTCAAGGATTTGTTCTTCTGCATTCTTCCTGATCTGTCATAACTGACACTATCAGCAGGTAAAAATGTTAAAGATGCAATGGAAAAGTGCTTCCCACAACAACACTCTGTTGGTACAGGCTACATAGACAATTCAACTAACCGTAGTTTATACTGTTATTATATGGGCCTCAATTTATCATACAGGGAAAGAACACACTAGAAAAGGCTCATCATAAGAGTTGTTAAATGTTGGACACCCATTTAAAATATAAATCCAAGCCTCAGAATATCTCATTAACACCTACCATATATTTAAAGGATGTTTGCAATATTTACAGTGTAATGTTTAACTAACAGACACACCAAAAGGATGCTTCTAGTGCTTCCCACAACAACACTCTGTTGGTACTGGCTACATAGACAATTCAACTAAACGTAGTATATAGTGTTACTATATGGGCCTGAATTTATCATACAGGGAAAGAAGACACTAGAAAAGGCTCAGCATAACAGTAGTTAAACGTTGGTCACTCATTTAAAATATAAATCCAAGCCTCAGAATATCTCATTAACACCTGCCATACATTTAAAGGATGTTTACAATATTCACAGTATAATGTCTAACTAACAGGAACGCCATAAGGGTGCTTCTATTGGTGTAATCAATACATCATTACATAGCATAAGTACCTGAAAAAATATAGCTTTTCCATCTAGACGCCAGAAGTTAGTGACTGGATAACCACTGTGACCTCGGCAAGGGATTAACTCCAGAGCTGCATTGCAGTTACTACACAACTTTTCTGTAAGTTAAAAAAAATCAGAAATTAAGAAATTGCTCTTTCTTACGTATATACATAGAGATAAAAGGTGTGTTCTAGCCAAATTACAAATCCCGTTTTTGTGCATTACTGTTTTCAATTATGTTGACTGTTTTGAATCCAGTTATTCTTTCTTTGGTTTTGTTATTTTTATTGTATTTGAAATGTCTCAACACAAATAGTCAGTTTTTATTCTCAAAGACAATTACAGTATCTAGAGGTTCCTAAAATTCTCATCAGGTACAGTACGTCTGGCAAGCTCATCGTAATGGAAAAGCTTATAAATCGGGATGGATTATTTCTGCTATTCCCCTAAGTGAAAATTAGTACTAGGGTGTTATATTTAAGAGCCTTATCCTCATAGGACATATGAGGACATGTCTATGTGCTTATGTCATCATTCGATGGTATGAGCATTTGGTATCCACAGATTGTCTACTATATACAACCAGCTTTATAATCTAAGAGAAAGTTATGTGTATTCTGATTGTAATGACTAGGATTTAGGAGAGCTATTCTTAAACATATTCTATATCCTTTTACCGCAGAACTTTAGTGTGTGGGGTACTGAGTTGTATGCAGTATGTGTAAATGTATGTATTATATTTATATGCTTCCAAGTAAAGTTTGATTTTGATATGTGTTTGACATATGATGGCTTGTGTAATGTTTAAAAAAATGTTATATGAGAAATGTGTTTCAAGGTTTGTTCACGTATGATAGATAGATAGATAGATAGATAGATAGATAGATAGATAGATAGATAGATAGATAGATAGATAGATAGATAGATAGATAGATAGATAGAAAGTAGAAAATAGATAGAAAGTTAAAAAATATTTCTGTTGGTGGCAATAAATTCTCACTTACTTTGTTGTTTCTGTCGTGCCTTGTCACAGATTGCTGGCCTGAGCTGTAGTTTGCCACCATCAGGCATTGTACAATTTCGGCTGCACACCACCACACCCAAGCAAGACTTCTTCAAGATCTGACAATTATGGTTGTTGGTATTTCTCATGGCCCATCCACTGAGATGACGCTGAGCATTTTTATCCTCACCGCTGTATATATATCGAAAGTAGCCATCTGTCCACTCCTGGAAATTATCGAACTGCTTCAGATCCTGTCATGTCAAAATTAACTATTTTTATTGACTGTTCAGTGTCATAACATATAAGAAGTAGGACAAGTCCAAAAACTACAGGGAACATAACTATACCAGATCACATGGCTGGAAGGTTGTTTTGATTCTACCACCCCATCAACAGGCATCTAAAGGGTTGTACATATATTTTTTTGTACATATGGAGGATTCCAAAGATGAATACAAGATATTGGAGGATTCTCCATACACAGTATCTATGACCACAGGCTCCCACGTCCCTTATCCCAACATGATAAAATCCTAGTTTCTAGATGCTACACTGTAATGTATATTAATAATAATAATTAATAATGTAATATAATTTACTGTATGGTGTTTAATTTTTTGTCAATTTCTCTAGTAAAAATGAAACATCATTTGAGATAACCCTTATGATTACAGTACACTTGTATAAACTCAAAAAAATCAAAAACCTGCAGCTGACAGAGCTATAACAATACAACACAACACAGTAACAATATGATTTGTATCATATAAACATGTGGTGAGATTTTTTTACAGGTGAGTTTGATTTATTTGCATCCAATAAATAAACTATTTTCTATCACTTTCTATATTTTCTGTTTTGAACCCAAAGCACAATGGCATCTTAAATTTTCTCAGTTTGCATAGACTATAGCAAATATCTTTTTTTTTTTATGAACACGTTAAAGAACACATAAAACCTAATTAACATACTTTTTATACAAAAATACTTGATAAGGGACAGTTAAAGTTCTTCACACAAGGAATCCGATGTACCAGGAGTACTTGTCATATGGACTGTATGGTTGAAGTGTATTTGTCGCCAAAACGTGGTGATCCGACAAGGGTCGGATTTACCCTGTCTGCTGCCCCTTGGCCAGGTTCCTCAATGAGCCCCCCTACCCACCACCCCCCAATGGAGAATGGCAACCAGATGGTGGGTGAGCTGCAGGGTTGTTTTGAATTTTTAAAATGTTTTCTTTATTATTTTTAACTTTGTTTCTTTAATTATTATTTCTTCTTATTTATTTTTTAATCAATTTTGTTATTTTTTTCCTCATTTTCATTTATTTATTTTTTTCACTGAAATTTATTGAATCTGTCACCTCCAAAATAGGAGTTTGAGCACAGCACTGTGCTAGCTCTCCTGTGACAGCTGAAATGGGAAGGCTGCGAGTGCAGCTCTCCCAACTCAGTGTTCACATGGAGTAGAGTGGAGAACAGACATTCTCTGCTCTGCCCCCCACTCTCCATCCTGAGGAGAGGATCTCCATCTCCAGGGAGAGGCAGCCAGCGAGGAGAGAGGTAGCCGGCGGGGGCAGAACGAAACGAGTGGTAACTTTACATGTACAGCTGTACATTTAGTCCTGCTTGCCCAAAGCAGGGCTACATGTAGAAAAAAACGACTCCCCCGGCCCCCGGAAACTGCATTTCCCTGACGTCAGGAGATAGGAATTCCACAACCCTGCCACCCCTCTACTCCCTGCCACCCCGAGGGCTGGCCTTGTTGGCCTTGTGGGAAATTCAGACCTGGATCTGGCCAGTCTGTTATTTCTTAACTTTCTTTAGCAAATCAAGCTGTCCAGCAAAATTAGCAGTCAGGGGGTTGAGACAAAACATTTAACACTGACAGGGGTGCTCATAATGGTCAGATTGTATTCAATTATGTAGAATCTTTATTCCAAAATGGAAAAAAACTGTTGCAGTAACTGCTTGAAAAGTGTTGGCTGCAGTTAAGAATTAATTTGTTAATCAGGTCAATATAAATTTGCTAACATATGTAACACTAGTCTCTCTACTGGTTGACAATGCTGTTGCCCAAGACTGGCTCCATTGCTCCTCCATAGAGACAGGAAGTGTGTTACTGACTGGATCACCAGGTGAATATAAAGGAAAAAAAGCCTTAAAAAAAAGCAAACTAATGCAGCCACCACATTTAAAGAAGAACTCCCGGCAGAAACTGTATTGACCTTTGCAGTGGGGCTGCCCCAGCACTGCATGGGTTAACTGCTCATTTTTGCCTAGGGTAAAAAAAAATTATACTTGCCCGATCCTCAGAGCCGGAAGTGCTCCCTCCAGCCTTTCTCTTCCTCCACTGCAGCAATGGTATGTTCCTCTGTCTTTTCACATCCTATACACTGTATTGGATGTGATGACTGGAGGATTCCTAGACCGCTGCAGCGTAGGGGGAGAAAAGCTCCAGGGACCTGTCTATAAGCCGGCCGGCTCAGAGGATCAAATGAGTATCAAAACAAGCAGTTAACCCTTGCAGTGCAGGGTAGCCCCACTGCAAGGGTTAATTAAATGTCTGCCTGGAGTTCTTTAAGGATTGAAAAGCTGCAATATATTACATTTTGTTTTTGGGTATAGATATGTTTAATTAACCAGGCATTGAGTCAGAACCTGCATGAATGAAATTCTCTGTCAGAGAAACCCACTAGATCAATAAACTAAGTAAGTGTCAGTTACTTAATCCAGGAAAGATTCACTAAAAAACAATGTTCATGCAATGGGGATTATACATACAGCTACAGAATGATGTCTTATGAATAACACAATACTAAAATGTTGCAAAACTCCCCTGAGATTTAAATATGCCATGTCTGATATATCAATAATTTAGACCAATAAGAATATACAGATGAAGTTAAAGTGACACTAAGCTCAGGAGATAAATCGTAAAAATGCATTCAAGTACCTTACCTGTTAACAAAAATGTATCTTATTTGTGTATCGCTCAACTGTAGATCCTCAAATCATCTCTGAATTGGTGCTGACACTGTCCTTCCTTCAGGAGGGTGGTTACTTATGTTCCCCATGGTCTCTGTGTGTGTTGTAAAGTAGCCACCGCTCCAAGCTCGCTCCCATGATGGACTATAATGTCACATTTATTTTACTAATTTGTATTCAGATTGTAGTTCATTACAGGAGTGAGCTTGGAGTGGTGGCCACTTTACAACACACACAGTGACCATGGAGAACAAAAGTAGCCACCCTCCAGAAGGAAGGACAGGGTCAGCACCAATTCAGAGATGATTTGAGGATCTACAGCTGAGTGATACACAAATAAGATACATTTTTGTTAACAGGTAAGGTACTTGAATGCATTTTTAAGTTTAACTCCTAAGTTAAGTTTCACTTTAAATACAAGCAAATAGGAGACCTTGAAAAGCCATACATTTATAACTGTACATTTATAGCTGCTGAATGTGTTCCATAGCTATATCACCAATGCAAAGCAAGCAGTGCCAACAGTGTAATACACTGCCTATTGCAGTGTATTAGAGGCGTGTGCGAGTGTTTGTTCTAGTCTTACAGTCTCATTACAGAGAAAAACACTCCAGTAAGTGATGACACATTCCCTATTGTAATCTGCCATTAAGATGTTTGCCTGCATGGACTTCTGTGTGCAGACCGGATTAACGTGCAGCTAATACACTGCTACTCAGTGCCTATGGGCTGTGTAATGATTTATCTTGTTATCTAATCCCCTCCACTGTAATAACTACCAGCCTAACCTAAGCAATACGTACAAGCATCAGATAATGCATTTATTTACTAATATCATTTAAATAAAACCAGTTATATACAGTCTTAGCAAATCAATCATATTATCATTTTAACTACTCTAGTAGACAGTAGACAAAAACTTTTTTTTAAATGACCAATTGCTACAGGAACTGTACTCTTCACAATGGTTGTATCCTTTTTCTTTGGCTTTCAATAGACTGTGTTTATTATGTTTTCAGTAGAGACGGTTCACTTAGTTAAGTGGTAAGGCTATAACTCACTAGTAAATGTACCCCATTGTACTTCGCTGAGAATTATACCCTACTGAGCAATAAAGGCTCTGTGTGTCCTCAACTTGTACATGAAGTTGGCGCTACATGTCAACTACAATGTGTAAAGTGGTACAAGACACTAACACTACTAATAGTAATAATACCAATTAATGTGATGTATTGTGTTATATGTTATTAAAGACCATCAAATGTGTAAAGTGGTACAAGACACTAATACTACTAATAGTAATAATACCAATTCATGTGATGTATTGTGTTATATGTTATTAAAGACCATCAAATGTGTAAAGTGGTACAAGACTAATGGTAATAATACTACTAATGGTAATAATAACAATTCATGTGATGTATTGTGTTATATGTTATTAAATACCATCAAATGTGTAAAGTGCTACAAGACTCTAATACTACTAATAGTAATAATACCAATTCATGTTATGTATTGTTTTATATGTTATTAAATACCAGCAAATGTGTAAAGTGGTACAAGACACAATTATTAATAATAATAATAATAATAATAGTTATAATTCTTCTTATGAATATGATTATTATTATTATTATTATTACATAATATTATATACAGGTGTACTAGGTTTTTAACATTAATAGAAAAGGTAGCAATATATGATATTGATAGAAATGGTAGCAATATATGAATGCGATCTGACCCCACGCTGAATAGTACAATACTTTTGCAGCCTTGTCGGTCTTCTTGTCAGTCCCAATTACTGCTATATTTCTCTTGTATCATTTTTCCACCATTACTCATTAGTACATAAGAAAATAAAAGCAATTGTTTTCCTCTCCACCTTCTAAATCACATCCTTCATTTTCACATCTCTACCCTGTTTCAGTAATGGCAGTTTCATAATAGTATGCGGCGTCTAAATAGTTCCCTGTAACTGAACCGAAAAGAAATGTGTTTATGACATTTCAGGGTAAAAATAACAAGTTTGGGAAGCTGAGAGATGTATGTGACGAATGCTCCCTGTGACATGTCACTGTCCTTGTCCGGGTCATCACCATTAACAGATATTTTATGGTAGGAGACTTCAGAATTCTTGGAAAATACTAAAATAAGTGGTCACATAGGTGAAGAATGGACCAAGATCACTATAAATGGCAGAAACTAGATTTCTTCTTCTTACCGATCAGCAATGTTAATGATTATCGCCCGGTGTAGTAGGTAGGTAGGTACATAGCCATCTACTATACTCCATGCTGCTTGTCATTGTTTGATACAAGTACAATCGTCCGACACAGCGCTACACAGTAACAAATAATTGCAATATATCATCTCTATTACAATGTTTCCGATTTATGAGTACCCTTTAATTGCTCAGTAACATTTCTAGAGATATATATCTCCCCAGTGATTATTTATGTCCACTAAATCATCTGAAAAGAAATCTAGAGCATGCAATTGCAATTGTCTTCTGAAAATGCTGCTTGCCTGGCTGTTATTCTGATTCTTTAGCTTTATTCCTTGTAGCCAGTGACCTAACTGCATAGAGGTTTGTGACTTTTCTCCAACTTTGCCAATCTGCATAAGTGTTTGTGTTAATGACTTAGATATTATTGAGGAACAGAAGCCAGTTTAGTAACTTGCATTTTCTGACAAACAGAAGTCCTATTTCTTCTAGAGCTGAAGTGAATGTGAAAAGTACTCCTTTAGGGTATTATTTGGTTTTTGCTACATAAAAATAAGCTTCAGGATGCCTAGATGGGAAATGGTATGTATATATAAGCCTAAACTGTTTATAAATGGTTGTTATAGTAGTGATTATAATGTGACAGCGTCATATATAGCAGTGATTAGAATGTGGAGCTGATTTACTAATGTTTCTCCTTTGGTAAATCAGCTCCCTATTATAATCACTGCTATATAGATTCATAAAGTTAAAACAGCCTTACTCTATCCACTAACCTCTGGGAGTAGTATCTGCTGCTTTAGTACATCAGGCGCAATGGTAGATAGCTGTAATATCCCTACATCATTTAATAAGAATTTAATGTACTTTGTCCTGTGAGAAATATATCTATTTTTAATTCAGCCTGAACTCAATGGGTTTTTTGAAGTGAACAAATAACATGGGATCGATTTATCAAACTGTGGAGCATGTACAACTTTGTAAGTTGAGTCTTTACTTTGCAAAAGCGAATAGTCACCTAGCTTAATAAATAAGGTGAATCTGTGTTCACTGCAATCATCCGAACCATTGTTAACGAAGCTCTACAAAGCTAAATAAACGTTCAGTCTGCAAAGTGAAATGCTTACTTAGTAAATCAGCTCCACATTATAATATCTGCTATATGTGATGCATATGTGGGATTATGGAATAAAACACTTACAGGGTTATTCACAAAAGGGTGAAGAGTTTGGGGAAGGCAATTAGAAGTGAACAATCTAGGACAACATCGCTGAACTGGAACGTGAGCTGAATTGGAGAATTTTTCCAAATCAGCTAGATTGTTCACTTCTCCTGCCTTCTCCAAACTCTTCACCCCTTTGTGAATAACCCTGTTTAGAAAATAATATTTTTTCTAGCTAGCACATGGTTGAGGTTTTAAAGGGAACGCAGATTGATCTGATTTACTAGCGTTCACTTTGCAAGGTGAACATTCACTCTCCTTAATTAGCAACTATGACTATAATACATGAATCCCATAGCAATCAGTCTACATTTCTACTAGAGGCGCCTAAACGGCACTCATACCTATTGAATAAGATATAAGAATAGGCAGTTACGTTTTAGTGATTAACCTTAGAAAATATGGATTTGGTTAGCTTTATTTTTTTAAGATCAGATGTTGTAGGGATGTGAGCTCCATTAGATAACCGCAACATGTGAATTGTATTTGCAGCAGACAAGGCGATCCCATAGAGAATAGCAGTGTCTGTGTGCCATTGCCAGGGGCTCTGCTGTGTTCTCCATCACACCAACAACTGGATCTCTGTCATCCCATTCCAGTCTGACTAATTGGTCCATGTTCCTTTTACACACACTCTGTGATTTAACCATGTACCGATGGAAGCTATTTTTTTCTGACCTAAAATTGTTCAATTTATCATCGTTTCATTTTAATGCATAGCCAATAATGTAATGTATAGCTCACATATCTAATTGGTGTTAATTACAAATTGAATTACCCCCCACCGCAACCTTTTATTGGACCTCATGTTATCACAATAAAAATCACACTGAGCACTAAAAATATTCGATTTTACTTTGAACGCATTTATATGTATTTTTATTAAGTGTTTAGACATCAGTTTCCTACACAGTCTTTATCAGTATGAACGTGTGTTGCTTTTATGTAGTTAGTTTTGCCTGCAGACGGTGTTATTACGTTGGTTGGCAATATAGATTATTTGTCGGATCCATCAAATAGAATATGCAAATAGTTTTTCCTCATTGCTTTATA